ATACTATATTAAAAAGTATTTCAATTATTCCCTTATTTTCCCAGACTCTTACATAAAAATCACACGCATGATTTGTTTAATGTTTTCAGATACACGTACAGCGCACTGAATATTTGTGAGATAAAAGTTATGGCCAGCTCTGTGAGCTACAGTGACAATAATTTTGTGTTGACGAAAAATTCTCTGATTCAAGGCACACCTTTTCTGACGCTATACACCTCAATGGTCGACATCTGCACGTTAATGTGTCTACAGCGTCGTGACACCGATACGTGCACCGCCGTCAACTGGGTTCGAACCACGAACCAGTGTCAGATGATCAAGGTCAACCCGCGAATCACTTTTTCTCTGTCTGCAGACCCAAATAGTGACTGTTATGTTGAGGCTTAAAGGATAAATTTGATTTTTTTTTTTTTAAATCTGTCTGAAGTGTTGGTTTATTTAATCCGGCTAGCTAATTGATGTATCGTACATGTTGAAATATACGTTATTTTAACTCTTTTAAAAAAAATATTTCCAAGTTATAAAATTTGATAAAAATCTAACATACCATAAATTATTTATATGGAAGGCACACTACCTTAAGGACATTAGAAGAAATAGTTAATGAAATGTATGTTGTGAACACACGGACACGCCTTACAGGTGATCCGATGCGTAGCGCAACACATAAGACAAACAACCACAAAAGGGTTACAAAAACAAGACTGAATGAAAACAAAGGCTCGTTGAAACTAAAAGAATTTAATAGTATCTACACTATCTACACCTAACACATTCTATTCTAAACACAAAATACACAAGCTAGTAAAACTACGATACAGTGGCTAAATTCTAGTATAAACCTAACCTGTACTAACCTTGGAGATCTGGACAAAACTGAGGCAATCACACACGTTTTCAGACACCTTGTATACCCTTTCGTAAACTTGTACCAACCGGACTATTACAACTCACAGCACGAGAACTGAAAAAGGACGAACGGAATAGGGTACAGGAACAAACAAAATTCACCCCCATTCATCCCCCTTCACTCGTTTACTACAATGTTTAATTTATTTTAACTTACAAATTGATGTTATATACGTTAACAATGGTTTGTAATTAAAACTTAATTTACTGTCGGTTTGGGGTCATCCATAAATGACGTCACACTCGTAGGGGGGAGGGGGGTCCGTAATTTTGTGACGATGTGTGATGAGGGGGAGGGGGGGGGGGGGGGTTCAGATATTGCGACGTCACATTTTTGCATTATAAAAAAGCAATGTTAGAAAACGAATTTTAGACGTTATTTCGCATTTTAGATAACTGTTTTAATAAATGGTAATAGTTTAGACAAGATTTTAGAAAAATATCGATGTTTTAAGAAAATTCAACTGCAATTTTGAGGGGGGTTGTAGGTTGAGGTGTGACGTCATTTTAGGGGGGGGGTCTGGCTTTTTGTGACGACGTGTGACGGAGGGGAGGGGGGGAGGTAAAAATCGTCCAAAAAAGCGTGACGTTATTTATGGATGACCCCTTTCAACTTGTCTTTTAATAGTAGCGATCTATGAGCTAATTGAAAGTTTACACTTTTGATAAATAAATCAGATTAAAATATAACTTATTCTTTAGCTTTTATTCTTTGGGTAAAACTGAAATAAACGCAAATATAAATGATGTGCTTTTTTTCGTCACTGTCTGCGAGCAGGATGAATCAGAGGCGTAGCGATGGGAGGGGGGGCGGGGGGCGGGGGTAAATATGTCCCGGGCGCCGACCTTAGGGGGCGCCACAATGGGTTGGAAAAAGAAATTAAAATGTCATTTTAGCTGCATTTTTTGCCTTATAAACAGTTTGAGGGGGTGGGGGGTGTAAATCGAAAGTCTGAGGGGGGGGGGGTGCAAATTGAAAATTTGCTTCTGAGAGGGCGCCAAATTGAAAGTTTGTCCCCGGGCGCCGGGAAGGGTCGCTACGCCTCTGGGATGAATGTACATCTTTTGTGTATGAAACGTCGGGGGCTAGTCGGTGTTCCTTTTGTTCAGAAGAGCGGAACTCAATATTAAGTATTGCGACCACTGGCAGATGTTTTGATGAATTGGGTGCCCCGCTGTGGTCAAACCCCCTGTGGTCAAAGCACCTGTGGTCAAAGCACCTAGGACCGTGAATTGGTGGTTCACAGATATACGAGTGATTGTAATAGACATGTGTTTAAGTTAATATTATCGATTGGCAGGCATAATCTGAACTTCAACTTTGTTCAACGACCAACCTTTACCCCCCATGTATCCTCGTTCTACATTTCCTCACTGACAATATAATTTCACAATGGACCCAATCGAGAGTAGTCTCAAAGGTAGTCGAGAGGTCCATTAAATATTTTTAAAATCATGCACGGTGTAATTAAAATAAATATGGATGGTTATAAAACCCTGTGTGGTTTTTTTTTTCGGACTTTAAAAAAGGGTGGATGTATTTGACGTTTTAGTATTTTCGGTAATTAAACACGGTCGTTTTTTTTTTTAAACGCAAAAGCAATTTTGTTTTGCACTATTAATGACGACATAAACAATGACAACTAGCATATATTTTTTATACCAAATGGCAGAACTAGGTCATGTGGTTTAAAAAAGCATTATGTTATTTAAAAACATAATCTGCAAGTTTTGTAAACAAATAACTACCCATCACTGAGTTTTGTACAGCCAATCAATGCTTGTCTTACGAAAGTGAAACATCCGGTTATAATTAATGATTAGCAAAAAATAAATAGAAATCTAACCTTAAACTTAAAAAGTTATTTTCAAGTTCTCTGGATTTGCAACTTTTATAAATTGCGTTATAGAGACTTCCAGATACAAAACACCTGTTTGTGATGTAAAGAAGAATTATCGAGAACATGGACTACATTTTATTCCGAATTTTTTTACATCTAACACGGAGAAATTACTGCTGAATGAATGGTGTTGAATAACTGATATAATTCACCGTTACTTTTGCGATTTAAATAAAAGGAAACAGGCTACTTTGATTATTGATAATCATTATATTTTTTCTAAGCTTATCTTAATCACAATGATTAAAAGAGCAATAAAACTTATAATATATTCTCAAAATATAGTATATTCTATTTTATAGGTTCATCCATAAATGACGTCACGCTTTTCTGACGATTTTCACCTTCCCCTCCCTCTGTCAGACATTGTCACACAATGCCAGACGCCCCCCCCCCCCCTAAAATAACGTCACACCTCAGCCTACAACCCCTCAAAATTGCAGCTGAATTTTTCTTAAAATACGATATTTTTCCAAAATCTTGTCTCTATCAACATAGAATATTTTAATCAATTCCCATTACAATTTATTAAAACAGGTTTCTAAAACGCGAAATAACGGCTAAAATCCGTTTTCTAACATTTCTTGTTTATAATGCAAAAGTGAGACGTCACACCATCTGAACCCCCTCCCCCTTCCTCTCATTACACACCGTCACAAAATTACGAACCCCTCCCACCTACGAGTGTGACGTCATTTAAGGACGACCCCTTAAAAGTAGCAAGTAGTGCTAGGTTCTCCCCAGTAATCTTTAGGGCAAAGCAAGCTATCAATAATTAGTTCGTTCAGGCAGTGGCGTAGCGAGGTCGGGTGTCACCCGGTGCGGCACTTAATGGTGTCACCCCCCCCCCCCCAGAGGCGTAGCGACCCTTCCCGGGGACAAACTTTCAAATTTTCGATTTGCACCCCCACAAACTTTCGATTCGCACCCCCGCCCTCAAGCTTTCGATTTGCACCACCCCCCCCCCTCACATTTTTCTCTATATATTTTGCTATTTTTTGCCTTGGTGTCACCCCCCCTAAATGGTGTCACCCGGTGCGGTCCGCATCCCCGCCCCCCCCCCCCCCTTCTCGCTACGCCTCTGCGTTCAGGATAACAACATTAACTTCGTAGCCTCACACTGGTGAATTTAATCGATAACAAACAATAAGTTCTATCGAATACCACACAATATGGGGTCAAGAATGGCATCCAACACGTATTGATTCTTTTTATCTCAAATATAAAAAATGTATAGAAGTTTGAGGATGAAAATAATCAAGTGTGGGACTTCCTTTCACGTTTGTTTTCTAAATACCGCGACGTCATGTGAATAACGTTAAAAATCAATGACAAAATAGTTTAATCATTTAAAGAGTTGTCGTAGATTTAAGTTTAGTTTAGTTTTACATTACGGTTTAGGTTGAAGTTGAGGTTTGAGGGTTAAGAGTTGGGGGTTGAGGGTAGGCGGTTGGGTGATTGGGTTGAGGATTGGGGGTTGGGGGCGGAGGGTTGAATATTTTAGGTTTGGGTTTGGGTTTGAGTTTGGGTTTGGGGTTTGATTCGGGTTCGGGTTCAGGTTCAGGTTCAGGTTCAGGTTCAGGTTCAGGTTCAGGTTCAGGTTCAGGTTCAGGTTCAGGTTCAGGTTCAGGTTCAGGTTCAGGTTCAGGTTCAGGTTCAGGTTCAGGCTCAGGCTCAGGCTAAGGTTCAGGTTCAGGTTCACGTTCAGGTTCAGGTTAAGTTTTAGGTTTCAGACTCAGGTTCAGGTTCAGGTTATATAAGAATATTCGAGAAAGTTTAGGGGAGATCACTCCCGGTTTTTTTTTTTATCTTTTTCTTTGGAAATAACAATGTAGATTTGGTTGAGAGAGTGGTGCTGGAAATTATACTGGCTTGTAAATGGGATCAAACTTGAAGCGGACTTAGCATGCAGCACAACTTAGTGGCGGTTTATCTTTTTGTTGTTGGTAGAAATGGTCATCGGCAAGACACTTGCAAGATTATGGGATCAAACCCAGTTTTTAGTACCGTCAGCTCATCTATGTAAGATTAATAACGCCACAGCGTAACCGTAATTATGCACAGGTAATTATGGCGCATGTTATTTTTAGCGTCCCTGTATCCTGATGCAGCTTAGGTAAGGCGTAGACAATATACAGGATGTGTCAACAAAACATTTGAGGTCAGCTAAAGTCAAAACAACGCCTTGTTAAAGTTAGGAAACGTTCAGCTTGAAGCGGATTTAACATGCAGCACAATCTTGTGGCCGTTTTTCTTTTTGTTGTTGGTGTCAGTGGTTATCGGCAAGACACTTGTAAGTTTATAAACAGCTCTATGTTCATAAATACAAAGTTATTTAATACAGAAATCTTTATGAATATATTTGTCTCGTTCCCGGGGTTAAGAAAATTTTTTTTTGTTTTTTTTTTAAAAACACTAAGAAAAGTCTAACATTGATGTGTTCGCATGGGGCGCTGCTTTATTCAAACATCTGTGTACATAAATAGAAAAGTAGCACGATATAAGTAATGGTAGAATGTATCTTTTCTTGTGATTTCGCCGTGTACAGAGTATACACCGTGTTGTTATCACAATGAGACACCTAATATTGTTTTTGGGTGCTTTATGCCGGGTATTTATTAAAGCTGAAACATAGTATAAGTTATATTTATAAAGCCAGCATTTTGCTTCAACAGTCGAACATAACATAACAAAACATAACAAAACAGAAAGAAAAACAAGTCCTCGATATTGCTTCGTTGAGGAGGAGATACGACTTAAAGCTGCGGACACACATCCATCCATCCATCCATCCATCCATCCATCCATCCATCCATCCATCCATCCATCCATCCATCCATCCATCCATCCATCCATCCATCCATCCATCCATCCATCCATCCATCCATCCATCCATCCATCCATCCATCCATCCATCCATCCATCCATCCATCCATCCATCCATCCATCCATCCATCCATCCATCCATCCATCCATCCATCCATCCATCCATCCATCCATCCATCCATCCATCCATCCATCCATCCATCCATCCATCCATCCATCCATCCATCCATCCATCCATCCATCCATCCATCCATCCATCCATCCATCCATCCATCCATCCATCCATCCATCCATCCATCCATCCATCCATCCATCCATCCATCCATCCATCCATCCATCCATCCATCCATCCATCCATCCATCCATCCATCCATCCATCCATCCATCCATCCATCCATCCATCCATCCATCCATCCATCCATCCATCCATCCATCCATCCATCCATCCATCCATCCATCCATCCATCCATCCATCCATCCATCCATCCATCCATCCATCCATCCATCCATCCATCCATCCATCCATCCATCCATCCATCCATCCATCCATCCATCCATCCATCCATCCATCCATCCATCCATCCATCCATCCATCCATCCATCCATCCATCCATCCATCCATCCATCCATCCATCCATCCATCCATCCATCCATCCATCCATCCATCCATCCATCCATCCATCCATCCATCCATCCATCCATCCATCCATCCATCCATCCATCCATCCATCCATCCATCCATCCATCCATCCATCCATCCATCCATCCATCCATCCATCCATCCATCCATCCATCCATCCATCCATCCATCCATCCATCCATCCATCCATCCATCCAGAAATGACGAGTTAATAATCGCAATAATTGCGCTAAAAAACTTGCTTCGTCATTCGAACATCGTCTCCCCAGACATAGAAAAAAAACCTCACCCCACTATTCAAAATGTACCGATACGTCAGACCTAAAATAAAATTAACCCTCTCTTACCCAGCCATTCGAACACACCCAAATAAACTTATTATTCTGTTATAGCCCACACACTCACACATCGTGTTTCGTGTTACTTATGACATTTGATACCTTCATGTTTATTAGGGCGTTCTGAATTATTTTTTTTCCATGAATATTACATCCGGGACAGTGGAAAGTGTATGAAACTGACATGCAAACATTCAACACAAAGGGTGTTGTGCTACAAGGCATGTGTGTTGACAACTCGGTGTTCGGGTTTGCGTTTAAGTGTCCTTCAAATCAAGAATTGTTTTGTCTATAATTTTTTAATATAATAGAAAAAGTAATTGCAGTGAAAATTAATGCTGTCCATAATAAAGAACTTGCTTTAAATGTGTACTAAGAGAGTTACATAAGTCATCACTTTAATATGATTTAGTATAGCTTTTACCCACTTACTTAAAGCAAGCGTGTTATGATGCATGTTTGACTGGGGAAATCGGTGCGCATGATTGATGGTGCGGCCGTATATTGAACGAGTGAATGTGTGACGAGATACGAAAGATAGTGACGTTTTAGGTTAGAGAGTTGGTTGCTATGAGCTTGTGGGTGAGTTAGTAGAATCCTTAGCGTTGTGTGAAAGGACGTGTGCTGGTTGGCATGACTCAAGTTGAGAAATAGGTTCTAGGAAGATAGATTTATGTAGATACAAGAATAAAAGATTCGTATAAGGAGTACTTAGTTCCTCTTATTTCTAAACGTCGTTGATCTGTCTTAGTGGTTATCAAGGTTCAATACTCTCTCCCTGGTATTGGAGAGGAGTTAAATGGTAGTTGGCTGAGTCAAGTAAATCAAACCCTCTCACTGCAGCAACATAAGCGTAACAAAGCGTATAATCCAATATCATTTTTTAACATAGCGGCCCATGGGTCAAACGAAAATAGAGGAAATCTATTTCTGTTAACTAGGATAGTGTGGCCAGCTTTATTTCCCTTACGTGAGTTAGGTACGTATAAGAGCTGGGTGAACACGGTGACGCCCTGTAACCTGTAACTAGCTAACCGGAAAATTACCTTTAAATCAATTTCATCTAAACAATCTTTTAACCAGGAAGTTTCAAACCAAGATAATAAATTCTAAAACAAAAACATTAAAAAAATAAACGTGATTAACATTTACAACACAGTTCTGTCTTATCGAAAAATACACGCCAAACACAATTGAAACCTTGAGATAGAGATAAGATTGGTTGCTGACATAAACGTTCTAAAAATGATGAAAACGACGATGTTTGTGTTGATGTATTTCATCGCGTCTTTTGTAATTAACACATCGGCACAAGTTATTCGTAAGTCATGACTTAAGGAAAGTATTTATAGTTTATTCAGCTGCCTGGGTTCGGTTAAGTATAACATTCCAAGTCTTTTTTTAAAGATTTTCGTTATATTAATCAACTTGAAGTACTTTGAACACATCAGTAAACACAATCAAGTTTACTTGAACCGTTTTTCAACTATGTAGTGTAGAGTCTCTGGCCACACCTACATACACAGACTACACACTATACACGCAAGGGACATAACTATGATATTTGTAATTCAAGGGAAGTAGCAATAACTCACAAGTCACAATGTAACAGTTTACAATAAATAAATGTGTTCATTCATGGATATACTAGCATGTATTCACGTTTCTTTCTATGTGCACATAATTTAAATCCAAAGCTAATAGTTTTCAATTTTTTTTAGAAGAACAAAGCTTCAAAATATTTTTGGGAGATGAAAAAAAAAAGCATATTACAAGGTGTAATTTATTACAGACATAAAATATTACAATCAATTTATTGTAATTTTATATTCTGATGTATTTGAAAACTTCAGAATTTAATTTAAAAAGCACTCTGACATCGAGTTAAAACAGGGGTCGGCAACCTGCGGCTCGCGAGCCGCATGCGGCTCTTTAGGTGTCAAGATGCGGCTATTCAGCTCGATGCACAAACATAAATAATTATTTTATTTTTAAAACTCATAAATGTATTATTCTGCCACACTCAGTAATGAACGATATAATAATAAATATTAGCATTAAACACTCGCTATTCTATTAGAACATTTAGTAACTCGATATTTCAATGTAGAACTACTTCCTTGTTTCCTAAAACGTGAGTTATTTAAATGTAAACAATTCCTGTGTTTGGATCATATTTATCGGGGCACTGGTTATCTACACTACCGCCTACCACCATGGCGTGCTGTGTGAAAGCCTTGAGTGTAAGTTAATCACTCACCGTAATATCACCATTAATCACTCACCGACGGTAAGTGGCGCTCTCGTGAACCCGATAACACCCCCTAGCTCGGTTTAATTATCGAATGTGTGCTCCTTAAAACTAAGGTAGGCGCTTAGTGCTCACGGGATAGCCCTGGGCGCCAAATCGCACCCTGCAGTGCCTCAATTTAGTGAGCGACTATAGCAATCCATTGTATCCATAGCCTATCGCGCTGTTTAAAATGAACGTATTGTTGCTATATAGTGTACAGATTTTAAAAAAAACGAATGTTGGCGCTATAGTGCTCGCAGGTGAGCCGGGGGCTCTTCGGGTCGCGCTATGGACGAGGTGCCGGCGGTTGCGTCTGTTGCAGTTTTGCCGCTGAATATACCCCTTACGACTTGGCAATGCAGAAAGCCCGATTAACGGATGCCAAGTACTAACATAGCACTCTGGAACTCTGGGCGCCAAAACGTGTATTGACACAAAAAAATGCACTAACTCGGGCGCCGCCCATAAGAAATTTTAATTTTTTTTCGCAGAAATTCCTCTCGGGAGTGTTTACATTTACTCCCCAAAGTTTCATGGCACTCGGATAAACTGTGTCGAACCGCATACAATTTTTTATACCGTATATAGAGAAAAATCGCACCTCTACCCCCCCCCCCCCCCCTGGGGCGCCCCCCTTGCGAAATTAATTTTTGCATATATATATATATATATATATATATATATATATATATATATATATATATATATATATATATATATATATATATATATATATATATATATATATATATATATATATATATATATATATATACAATATTTATACTAAATCCTAATTAAAGATCATAATATCTATATATATAATTCTCTTCTTCGAGCCGTTAGAAAACAAGCTGCAAACGCTCTCCCTACCTCCCCACCCCTACATGGTTTTAGTGAGCTGTGTTCACTCTAAATGTTTACAAGCAGAGCCAACGATTTTAAACGTAGGGGGGGGGAGGAGGGGGGAAGGGAAGGAAAGGGGGGGGGGTTATGGTCCTTAACGAGCTACTTATAGTGTTTTAAAGAAATATTTTCAGTGTCAGCGTTGGTACTGTCGAATTCACAAATTATGAATTATTGAAAATTAGAAACAACTAAATAAACAACTAAATAGCGGCGTATGTTATGCCGCGGGCCGGCTCGTTAATAATAATAATATAAAAATGTTGGCGGCTCTCAAAAGGTTGCCGACCCCTGAGTTAAAAGATACATTTCATGGAAAGCTAAGATATAGACTGGGAACTCTCAGTTAACTAAAAAAATGTAAAGAAAAAAAAAGTATTAAATTTAATTAAGACAGTCTCAAGCCAAACATCACTCGATCAGCCCTCGATCAAGTTAGAACAGTCTTATATTTCTCAGGTTTTAAAAGTGCACAATTTGAATGGTAGAAAGAGATAGCCACCTTACCCCCCCCCCCCCACACACACACACACACACACACGGACACGAGGCAACCTGATTCTGTAGATTACTTGTCTGATACTGTAAAATACACCTGTAGATTACATGTTTGATACTTTAGATTATATATGTTGATTACATGTCTGATATATATATATATATATATATATATATATATATATATATATATATATATATATATATATATATACACTCTTAGTTCACTAATCGTTATCAACTTAATTACTGTTTAAATTGGTTAAATAATTGGTTATCTAATTGCTTATCTAATTGGTTATCTGTCTAATAATCAGATTGATAATTTGTTTGATTATCCATTTGATAATCTAACTGCCTATCTAATTAGTTATATACATAAACGTAACACCCTTACCTTTCTCCAGTGGCCGGTGCCTGTACCCAGCCCAAAGACGTTGGCCCGTGCGACGCCATCATACCAAGATGGTACTTCAACAGCGCGACCCACTCGTGTGAAGCCTTCGACTACGGCGGCTGTGGCGGCAACGACAACAATTTTCTCACCCAAACCGACTGCCTCACCAGGTGTGTGACACACCTGGGCTGAGATGAATATACGACAAGGGGAATCAGTGCCTAAACTAACATGGCGAGGATGAATAAAAACAACAACAAGAGATTTCGAGCACTATTTAAAACATTTCAATAAATTAACACAGAGACAAATGTTACTGTTTCAACTTGTCTTTAAATGTAATAACGTATATATATATATATATATATATATATATATATATATATATATATATATATATATATATATATATATATATATATATATATATATATATATATATATATATACGCGTGTGTGTGTGTATGTGTGTGTGTGTGTGTGTGTCTAGGGGTGAGTTAGTACGTTTGTACGTGAGTGTGTCTGTATGAGGGCGCGCCTGCATGCTTGAATGTGTATGTGTGTGTGCGTGTGTGGGAGATATGGGGGCTATATAATATATATATATATATATCCATATATATATATATATATATATATATATATATATATATATATATATATATATATATATATATATATACATATGGATCCTGGTGTTATGCTCCATCTCAAAGAATAATAGAATTTTTACAAAGAAAAAAATTCAGATTACAAAAACTTCCGATTACGTGAATTGTCTCGTCTATAAGCGAACTTGCGACACTTTCCCGTTATCATGCGCGTCTCTGGCAGATAAGACTTGGAATTACCTAATTGAAAAGTGTTATCAGGGACGTCGAGCTAGCCGGGCCAACATGCTGGGGAAGTTTAGTTTGATTGTGGTTCTCGCCTGCTGTCTGCAGCTGTCCTTGCAGCAGAGACGTGAGTTACCTGTCCTTGTCACTGATAGTGAACGAATGTGTGTTTTAGTTTGTTTAGGGCGATTAAATGCTACATATAGCTAATCCATTGTTAACGTATTCGCTAAAATATTGGTAACTTACATCGGATTAGCTAATATATAATTAGCTTACCACGGATTAGGCAATACTTTTAGCTTCCAGCTGATTAGCCAATACATTTTCGCTTCCAGCGAATTAACTGATACAACTTTAGCTTTCAGTGGGCTATTGCTGCATGTAACTAATCTATATTTTATCTTAAACTAGACTTCTGTTTTTACATATTTTTCAATGCACAACTGCTACATGTAGCCAACATATTTTTATCTTACAGATCAGTACTGCTACATGTAGCCATGACATTTTTATCTTACAACCTACGTGTAGCCAACATATGTTTATCTTACAACTAAGTACTGCTACATGTAGCCAACACATTTTTATCTTACAACAAAATACTGCTACATGTAGCCAACATATTATGTTTATCTTACAACTAAGTACTGCTACAAGTAGCCAACATATTTTTAATCTCACAACAAAGTACTGCTACATATACTGCTATATGTATTCAACATATGTTTATCTTACAAGTATTGCTATATGTATCGAACATATTTTATCTTGCAACTAAGTACTGCTACGTGTAGCCACCATCTTTATGTTAGCTTGCAACTAGGTACTTCTACATGTAGCCAACATATTTTTATCTTACAACAAAGTACTGCTACACAGAGGCGTAGCGACCCTTCCCGGTGCCCGGGGACAAACTTTCGATTTGCACCCCCCTCCAACTTTCGATTTGCACCCCCCATTCGAACTTTTGATTTACACCCCCCCCCCCTCAAACCTTTAATTTGTTTTTCCAACCCATTTTGCCCCCCCCCCCCCCCTAAGTTCGGCGCCCGGGGACATATGCCCCCCCCCCCCTCGCTACGCCTCTGCTGTTACAAGTAGCCAACATATTTTTATCTTACAACCAAGTACTGCTACGTGTAGCCACCATCTTTATGTTAGCTTGCAACTAGGTACTTCTACATGTAGCCATGACATTTTTATCTTACAACAAAGTACTGCTACATGTAGCCAACATATTGTTTCACCTTCCAGCTGACTACTGCTACCTGAAGCCAGACTCCGGGACATGTGAGTCCCACGTGCTCAGCTACTACTACAACCCCGCCCACGGGGACTGCGAGACTTTCATCTACGGGGGGTGTGACGGCAACTTCAACCGGTTCAACTCACACGAGCAGTGTGCTCACTTCTGCATGCACATCAGGGAGGTGCGCGCCTAGTCAAACTAGTCCTTGACGATTTTCTAAGTCTGACTGAACACGAGAAAAGCTCCTATAAAAATGTTCTAAATTTGAATAGATCCAACAAGATTTAAACATTACGCTAATAAATTACTTAAACACATAAAATTCTTCGTTTTTTTATATACATATACTTTTTTTTCTGTTACTGTTTTTATTTTATTTTTCATTTTTGTCTTGTATTGTTAGCGTTGATTTTTTAAAACAACTGAAGCTATCAGTAGCGTAGCGAGGGGGGGGGAGGCGGGGGGACATATGTCCCGGGCAAATTGAAAGTTTGAGGGGGGGTGCAAATCGAAAAGTTTGTCCCTGGGCGCCGGGAAGGGTCGCTACGCCTCTGGAAGCTATTGTTGAAATTTTATTAACTTCTTTATCTGTTGATTGAAAAAGAGATGTTTCTGTTCTTAAAATGTGTGTTTTCCTCTTTTGTGGATAGATGCAAGTGCAAACTTCATCATGATTTAACAGGTGCTTGCACTTATTAGATTCCTAAACGCTAGGGGGTAATATACTCACTTAAGATATTAGCTGATATAATTTGAATGTATTAAAATGTCATGTCAAAACTGGGGTCTTTTTTCTTCTATAAAGCGTGTGCTATTTAAAACTTCAAAACGTTTTTCAAGTAAGTATAAAGTTTTTTTTTAAATTGGACAATAGTTGTGTTTTTTTTTTCAATTTTCTTAGAAATTCATCTTTATCTTGTGTCTGACCCAATGAAATGCCTATCTGAAATTGTAACTAATGCCACTGATTAGGTTCTTTTAATTAGTACTAAGTCACAGCGTGCTAATCAGAATTTAGTGCAGTGTGCTAGTTCAAACTAAATGACATGCTGATTAGCAAAAAGTGGACTAGTTCTAATTAAAACTAAGATTATTGTGCTAATTAAAACTAAGATTATTGTGCTAATTAAAACCAAGATTATTTTGCTAATTAAAACTAAGATTATTAAGCTATTTTAAACTAAATACAAATCGACAATGTTCGTTCCGCTAATTAAAGCTATATATAATGTGCGAGTTAAGACTAACAAGCGCATATCATCATTTATACCACCAACCCTCCCCTCCCCGGCCACACCTAAATCCAATTAACATTTTAGTTCTCCCGTGTCGGCTAATCACCGCGCCTGACAATCGCCTTAGGGCTGTCCCAAAAATGCCATTCACTTGATTACACTTAATTACACGGTCAGGGACATCTTAATTACCTTTAAACGTGTCTTCGCGTATATCTTTCTAAATAATGGACACAAGTAGATAATCCGCTATGCAAAACTGCATATTATAATTCGAGAGAATTATCTGCGAGATATATCCCGTGAACAATAGAAAATAAACGTACTAGGATTTGGATACATTTAAAAGCAGGGTTAAGCCTTCACACTATTAAACCCACTTCCCACAATTTCTATCTTCTGTTCTTCACTGTTCAACGCTTATTTTTATCTTAAACACATTAATATAACACATTAATATATACTCTTAATTTCGCGTAATAATAAGCGGTAGAGCGAAAACACTAGATTTCGAATCCGGGTCCAAGTCGATAGAAAGTCTCTGAGTCCACCCAGTTCGGATGGGCAAAGTGCAGACCACACTTCCCCATCATATACCGAGGTCAAGAAACATATGAACTCTACTTCGTCTGCCCAATGAATCGCTTGGTCTAAAGATGATTCTTCACTTTACACGAAATAAAGAAAGAAATTTATTTGTCGACAAACACACACGTATATATATATATATATATATATATATATATATATATATATATATATATATACTAGCTGTATCCCGTGCTCCGCCACGGTAAATCTTTTTTAAATGTACCAACTTGGGAACAGAACAAAACTAAACACAACACAAACGAACGCAAAAAAAAACACAAACTAAAAAACAAACACAACACTCATAACATAAACACAATTTAAATGCAATCATAAAGGCATATTGCTCACAGCCTAGCCCGTAGCGCCAAATCGCGCCCTTTCCGGTGATTTGCACCCCCCTCAAACTTTCGATTTGCACCCCTGTCCCCACCCCCCCCCCCCCCGCCCTAAAACTTTCGATTTCCACCCCCCCCCCCCCCCCTCGCAAATTTTTTCCAACCCAATTTGGCGCCCCCTAAGGTCGGCACCCGGGGACATATGCCCTCCCCTCGCTACGCCTCTCCTATAAAACCCCTAGCTTGTCCTCAAACCGAAAGATAGAATAATAATTAGTAAACAGTATAAATAATAGGCAGTATTTAAAATATCCGTGTTTTACCTACAATATTTCACTTTATCCATTCACGCATTTTTTTCCAGTACTTTAAATTTTAAAAATTTACAATAGAGTTTCATAACTAAAACCATTGCGCACCCAATGAACGTGATGACGCGTCTATAATAGTGCTGAATAGTTGATTAAAAATTATAAGTAATAAACAGTAGGGCCTACATTCAGTGAATAAAATAAATAAAAGATATCATTTTATCAATCCATGCTAATTATAATTTTCTAATTATAATTTCCTCTTACACATCCGAATAATTTGCATTCACATTTTGCTAATTATATTATTGCAACACTAATTCCTTCTATGACGAACGTATATTTGCATTCACATTTTTTATTAGCGTGAGTTTAATGTATTTTTAAATTACCTCCTTTGTCAAAATTAGAAAAGAGTTAAATTAATTTGATTTTTCTACCGTACTGTTATTATGTTATTAAAATGTATCCACTTTTTCTAGGAATATAAACGAAAATGATATTTGACATTGATCCTTTTAATATGTTTTAGTAATGTGCGTGTATTTAATATTTTCTTTAAGTTATGCAAAAGAGTAAACACAGTGGCAATTATAAAATAGCTCTATGTCGTTATATAAACAAACCCTACTCTAATACTTATAATAAGACACTGCGGTGCACTGTAAAGCACAGTATGGTGCGATGTTTACTTTTATGGTTTCAAAAGCTATAGCGATGACAGAAGGAAGGAAGGAAGGAAGGACTGACACACGCTCAGCCCGCTTATATTATATATATATATATATATATATATATATATATATATATATATATATATATATATACGTGTGTATTTGTCGACATATATGTAACGTTCATTCGTATACCACATTAAAACATGAATTTAAGCAAGAGATTCTATTACAATATAATGTAGATCAAGTATTCCAGCGGCAAAGTCAAACCAATAAGAATAAACACGGACGCAACAAAACAACAACCGAGACAGTGGGTGACAACTGAAGTGTGCTACCATTACGATGACTAATCGTGTACATATCACCCCGTAACGTTGTCTGAAACTTGTAAACACTGTCAATTTTTTTAACAGACCTTGACCTTTCGTTGTTTCACTTTTTCCCCTGCGACATACGTGTTCCGCGTCACCCCCAACCCCCACCCCTACTCGTTGCTTCACTTCACCTACCACTAACACCCACGTAGGTAAACAAACACAACCGACAGGTAAACTGGTTTTAGCTCGTTAATCTCGACATTTACTTCATTTGAAGGACTTGAACATTTGTAGCAGACGATGGAAATGAAAGTGATTCTGTTGATGATTATTGCTACGTCACTGGTGACGTATGCAGCCTCACAGGTGTCACGTGAGTAATTAAGCGTTAATGACGTTTCATAATTAAAAGAAATACTTGATAACCTTGTTATACTGAAATAGCTCTCCATCTTTTTAAAAATTAATAGGCAACGATTTGTTAAGTTAAAGAATGCTGAACTTCTTAAATTAACACAGTTAGTTTTAATTAAACAATCGAAAGGAGAAATTTTCAAGTGCATCATTTTCCTTTAAAGAAATCTAACATCTAAGGCTAGTATTTAAATTTTAACAAATAAAATTATTATAATAACTAAATTAACATTAAATCCACCTTAACCAACAACATTGTAAAAAAGAATTTCGAATTCACTAAGCAGTATGATGAGTAAACCGAGGCTAATTTTTATAATCTTCACCTGATTAAACCTTAGCTCTATCTCTGATGTTTTAAGCTGCTGATGCATCAATGCTGTCTGATCTCGTCTACAATAAAAAGTTGTTTTCTTTCCAATAACAGCTGACGATTCAGTAATAGCTAGTCTATACCTACGTTGTTGTAGTTTTGTGGGGGTTGTTGTCGTGGGGGTTGTTGTGGCTGTGGTTGTGGTTGTGGTTTACGTAGTCATAGTTGTGGTTGTGGTTATTGTTGTTGTTGTGGTTGTTGTAGTTGTTATGGTGATGGTGACTGTTGTTGTTATTGTCGTTTTTGTTGTTGTTATGGTTGTTGTAGTTGTGGTGGTGGTGGTGACTATTGTTGTTATTGTCGTTTTTGTTGTTGTTGTGGATGTTGTAGTTGTTGTGGTGGTTGTTGTTGTTGTTGTTGTAGTGGTGGTGACTGTTGTTGTTATTGTCGTTTTTGTTGTTGTTGTGGCTATTGTAGTTGTTGTGGTGGTGGTGACTGTTGTTGTTATTGTCGTATTTTGTTGTTGTTGTGGTTGTTGTAGTTGTTGTTGTGGTGGTGACTGTTGTTGTTATTGTCGTTTTTATTGTTGTGATGGTTGTTGTAGTTGTTGTGGTGGTGATTGTTGTTGTTGTTGATGATGATGATGATGATGATGTTGTTATTGTTTTTGTTCTAAAATAGCTAATGACCTATTGATATTTATTCTGTAACTGCGTGTTGTCTTACTGATGACTTAATCATGTCTAGCCCTACCATGTGAGTTTCCCGCTCTTTATTGCTGATGAACTTATCTTCTGATCTACACATATTTGCTTCCCTACCTTGAAATCTTTACCCAATCATCTATGCTTCTCTCCCTTGAAATTTTTTAACCCATTCATTTTTGCTTCCCTCCCTTGAAATCTTTTTACCCATTCATTTTTGCTTCCCTACCTTGAAATCTTTTTACCCTTTCATCTTTGCTTCCCTCCCTTGAAATATTTTTACCCAATTATTTTCGCTTCCCTACCTTGAAATCTTTTTACCCATTCATCTTTGCTACCCTCCCTTGAAATATTTTTACCCAAACATCGTTGCTTCCCTCCCTTGAAATATGTTTACCCATTTATCTTTGCTTCCCTTCCCTTGTAATCTGCTTACCCAATCATCTTTGCTTCCCTCCCTTGAAATATTTTTACCCAATCATCTTTGCTTCCGTCTCTTTAAATCTGGTTACACAATCATCTTTGCTCCCCCTCCCTCCACAGCCGAGTGCTACCAGGAGATGGACCCAGGCCCCTGTCAATGGATGGTCCCCCGCTGGTTCTTCAACATGACCATCCGCCTGTGTGACATGTTCAACTACAGCGGTTGTGGGGGCAACCTCAACAATTTCCGCACACAGGGCGAGTGTTCGGAGAAATGTGAGGCCCAGCGTTATCGCGGCTGAAATGTCCTTGTTCAGGGGAGATAACCAAAAACATTGTCTATAAAGGGATATAACTAAAATCATTATCAAAACCAAGTTCGGAGACAACTGATATTATGGTTCGTGTGTGTAAGACATTATTGTTACATATTATAATTATAAATAGTAAATTTGCATTACATATACTTCAAAATTCAATGGTTGTTGTGCTTAAATTTAGTGTCTAGAATATTATTTCAGTATAAATGAGATGGTTTGAAAAATATGGATCAGTTACAAATCAGTGAAACTTGATAGAAGGTGTAATATTCAAGCAATCCGCTACAATTGCCTTTAGAAAAAAAAAAGAGAGAGAGAGAGAAAAATGCAAATGGCTTGGGTTGATTGTTTGTTTTTTCATTTCTTTCCTTTTTCAAATAATTTTCATGTCTTTTTAGATGTACCTTATAATTACTTCATTTTAAATTATATCGATGTAGTTTATATGTAAACATATGTGTAACTTTTCATATAGGAGGGGTGAATTTTTTAATATGTAGACCAAAAGCTATTTTATTATAGCTTTAAAGACATAATTATTATGTTGAATTTGTGTAAAATAAAAATAATTTTAAAAAAACAGCAGTATTTCTACATTATTTCTATACATATAATAAAAATATTAATACATAACTTTAGTTTTTATTGCATTTTAAACCCCAACTTGAATTAGCAGACTTTCAACTTGCTTAGCACAACAGTTAAAATAGGTTTAATAAATAAGACACATTCTTTCACATGAGTCCAATCATTTATGCACGAGGTTGTTCCTAAGAGCCTGAAATTGAACACGGCCTACCGAGACAAAAAAAATTCTTCGCGTATTTCCTTCTAACCTAAAAATAGCGACTGGCCTTCGATCTATATTCAAGGTAATATAACCCAGCATTTCAAATTACATTGCAAGTGTTTTCCTTCTTGTGGTAAAACAAATATTTCGCCTGGCTTTCAAAACATAAGCTGTAGTGTGTTATCAAAGTAAAATCTAGACAAATATTTTTTTTCTCTTTGCTTGTAAACTTATCTAAGAAAATTGAAAACAACAGCTGCGAAATTTTGTGATTATAGTAAAATTGGACGTCTAAATGTTAGAGGTAAGGACGTCAAAATATTTACGGTAAGGAAGTAATAATGTGTATGGTAAGGACGTCAAAATATTTATAGTAAAAACTTCAAAATGCTCATAGTAAGGACGTCTAGTTGTCTATGGTAAGGACGTCGAAATGTGTTTAGTAATGACATCACGTATGCATTGATAAAACTAAAGTAGAGAATCCTCTTTAGACTTAACTATCCATTGGGCAGATAAAGTAGAATTCAAATTTTTCTTGACATCGGCATGTGAAGGAAAAGTGTGGTCAGCACTATGCCCAGCCGTTTTTACTTTCCCCTAACACGAGTTATGGTACACATCGGAGCTTGGTGGACTCATGGACTTGGACCCAGATTCGAACTCGAGACTTTCGGGTTCGCAGCCTAGCGCTCTACCGCTTAGGCCACGCCGTCTAACTGGTGCATTAATAGGACCCCAAATTGCATGTCTTTTTAATGTTTTATTGTTTTAATCCAATACATCATACGACATTAACACTAGCTTTTCCTTATGGTGAGTATGGTAACAAGACCATGTGAGGGGGGGGGTGTAACGTCGAAATTCTAAATGACTTGAATATCAGTAGCTGCGCATAGCATTAAGATCAATGGTGAGTGGGACTTCAAATTTCAGAGACAAACAGACACTACTGGAGGTGGTGCCACCAAACAAAGAAATTATATAGATGAGATTAAGGTGTGTGGGTTTGGCATTAGAATGTTGTAGTTAAATACAATATAACTGACTGAAAATACGGAACGTTGTACACAAAATTGCAAATTAATAAATCACTAAGCGTAACAGTATATGTAATTCTAAGCTTAAGATTTAAACACATCCTGAATCTTATGTCAAATCAAACCTGACAGTTAATCATGCGGTTAGACAGTGAATATCCGTGTATTCACAAACAGTGTTTCCTTCACAATTTTTCTCTGGTGGGGGGGGGGGTACACTGGATATTTTCGGGGAAGGCGAACTAAATTTTACAAGGGGGGGGGGGGTCGGAGGACACTGGTAACAGTATATATATATATATATATATATATATATATATATATATATATATATATATATATATATATATATATATATATATATAATATGTGTGTGTGTCTGTGTTTGAGTTATATTTTAAATACATTGCGAATCTCTAGTACCAAAAAAGCAACAAAACAACCACGATCTTGAAGTTAAACACTCGCATGTACACAAAACACTCACTTATGCTCACACTTATACACGTCTACAAAACCCTGATCACAACATGCGTCAAAAAAACCATCAGCCACGAAAACATACTCAAGTGGTCACACCAAGACGAGTGGCTACCTACGACCTTCACCGACTCATCCTTCAACACTTGACACACTGCTCGTCACACAACTTCCGGTGCTCATCTCAAATCCTGTATTTAAACAATCCGGGCCTGCACGTCATGTAGCCATTGTACTGTGAGCCGTTGATACAAGTACTCACTCGCACGCATAGACAGTAGAGATGATGCAGTTTATGTGGATCGCAGTTTGTTGCTTCATGTTGATTGCGGGTCAGAGTCTAGAAACACGACGTGAGTTGGTTTTCGTGCTAGGCTTAACTGTGATTATTATATTTTGTGTTTGGTTTATCTATCATTATCATATTTTGTGTATGGCTTATCTGTGATTATCATGTGTTGTCTTTGGCTTATTTGTGATTATCATATGTTTTTTTTTGGCTTATTTGTGATTGTCATATGTTGTGTTTGGCTTATTTATGATTATCATATCTTGTGTTTGGCTTATTTGTGATTATCATATGTTGTGTTTGTTTTTTTGTGATTATCATATGTTGTGTTTGGCTTATCATTAGTGATTATGATACTATTCGCCTGGATTATCATCAGAGGCGTAGCGAGGGGGGGGGGGGTTGGACCGCACCGGGTGACACCATTTAGGGGGTGACACCAAGGCAAAAAATAGCAAAATATATAGAGAAAAACTTGAGGGGGGGGGTGCAAATCGAAAGTTCGCGGGGGGGGGGGGTGCAAATCGAACGTTTGAGGGGGGGGGGGCTAAAATCGAAAGTTTGAGGAGGTGCAAATCGAAAATTTGAAAGTTTGTCCCCAGGAAGGGTCGCTACGCCTCTGGTGGGGTGACACCCGACCTCGCTACGCCACTGCTTATCATCATGACTATCGTATTATGTTGTGTTTGGCTTATCTGTGATTATCATGTATAGTTTGGCTCATCATAGTGACTAGCGTATTAAGTTGTGTTTGGCTTATCTGTGATTATCGAATGTTGTGCTTTGATTATTTATGATTATCACATGTTATGTTTGGCTTATCATTGTATGTATGTGTTTCTGTATGTGAGATTGTCTTTAAATGTCTGTAAACATGCACGTACATACTGTGTTCCCTGTGTGTGTGTGTGTGTTTGTGTGTGTGTGTCTGTGTGTGTGCGTGTGTGTGTGCGCGCGTGCGTGTGTGTGTGTGTGTGTGAATGTATGTTAGAGAGAATGCACGCAAATGCCCAGGTAACAGTTATAAATATTTCGTATACACTACTCATCCAAGCATGTCTCTGATACCACGCATTGTATCAATAACACGTCCCCTTTCAAATCACAATCACGCAATACTTATAGGCCCCCAACTTATCACGCAATACTTATAGCCCCCCAACTTATCACGCAATACTTATAGGCCCCCAATTTATCACGCAATACTTATAGGCCCGCACCTTATAGGCCCCCAACTGTCTGTTTTGTGTCTATCGCCGATATTTACAACGAGATTCTCCTCATTGTTAATGTAATTTGATTGTGTCCATTTAGCCTTGTATGGTACTAAACACATTAATCAACATGAAATGTTTGATCTTTTTTTAAATCTCTTTCCATATTCACTGTTTGATAAGACGAAAACAAGTGCTTCTTAAATATCTGGTTAGGGCTAGTTTTAGGAGTAAGTATAAAAAGGTTAATTTTGCTGCTGTAAAGTTTAATTTACGAGCTGTGTTAGTCTAAGGGTTCAGTTAAAGTTAAAATCAAAAGGACATGATTAGTATAATCAACCTGTCCCCACCCCACTTCAACACTCTCCCACGACAGTCCGCTAACATCCACCCCTACCAGCACACCACCCTCATTTACATAAAACATGCATTACCTTGCATTTTGTCTTCCCCCTAAATTCCCCCCCCCCCCACCACATACCACTCTAAAACCCTATATACCTTTATTACCTGTATTTTGTCTTTCCCCCCCCCCCCCAGCACACCAACCGCCCTGAAACCTATATACCTAAATTACCTAACCTCCTCAACCAACAAAAAAACGTATATTACCTGTAGTTTATCTCACCACCTCCCTCTACCAGCCTTTCCCTTCCATCCCTCCTCCATCTACCCGACAGAGGGACGTCTAAGGCTATCGGCATGCTAGTGTTCTACAACAAAACTTATATAACCATTGTTTTATCTCTCCCCCCCCCCCCCCTCCAGCTTCCTACGGCATGCGAGTGTTCTACAACAAAACTTATATAACCATTGTTTTATCCCCCCCCCCCCCCCCCCCCGCCTCCAGCCTCCTACTGCAGCATGAAGGCCGACAGAGGGACGTGTACGGCTATCGGCATGCGAGTGTTCTACAACGCCAAGACCGGCTACTGCGAGAGGTTCTTCTACAAGCGGCTGTGGCGGCAACAGAACAATTTCTTCACCAGACGGGAGTGTATGGACAAATGTAAGGCCAAGCGTAACGGCTGAGGGGATGTGACGAACGTGACGAAGGATGGGATGTGACAACCGTGAGGGCTGATGGGATGTGACAAAAGTGACGGCTGAGGGGATGTGACAAATTAAAAGGCTATTCTCCAGCCGTTGGGGTAACGTCATAGTGGAGATCTGTCACCAAAATTGTGACTTAGTCTCCACTCTGTGTTCTTTACCTACGTTTTACAAAATGTTATCTCTTTTAGGTATATTTTCCCTAATAAGATTTTTTTTTCGTTTAGGCATCACATTCCAAGACGGTTTAAGTACCCAATTTATGTTCAAAATACCTTAACAAATTCTTTTTCGTTAAAATATTTTCAAAATTATTAATAAATAATAAAAATATATACAATATTCAACGTTTTTATGTTATAAGTTAGAGAGATATTTAAATTCATTATTTGTCCTTAACACGATTCTTATTTAAAAGATTTAACTAAAGAACAAACCTGCCACTAAAGTATCAAGTGTTGAATTTTATTCTTTTCATACAATTCTTATATATGTAAAAAAAACGGTTAAACTACATGTATCAATGTTAAACTACCTGTATCAGTATATTATGCAGCACTTTATATAAGCAGTGTTTCTTCCAGACTTTTTTCTCCGGGGAGGCACTTGAAATTTTCGTGGGGGGGGGGCGGACACTGTTAAAAGTATATATTATCTATATAAATTATATAAAATTTCATTTCGTTCGGGGGGGGGGGGGCGGTACAAATATTTCGGGTGGGGGGGGGGGGGGGGGGGGGGGGGGGCGAAGCCCCCAGAAGAGATGCCTGGAAGAAACTCTGTATATAAGTTGCATACAAGGTTTTACTCGCTCTCGCTCTGGTGCTCTGGTGTAAATAAAGTAAATTTTTGACACATCTCGTTTAATGGGAGGTAACCGTAAAAATTTTAAAGTACGGTCATAATATTAATGCAGTTACCGTTATTGTATTTTCACCAGGATATCATCTTGTGGGAAAAACCGGGTTCGAAAAAGGTGAACTTTGCTTTTCTTACTTAAAAACCAGGACGGACATCTAAACTCTTTATCCGAGATTGCAGTGTATAAACACAGACAGATAAAAATCTCCCAGGGCTCAATAATGATCGAGATTGTGCTCTGGGGAGTTTCAGCTATATTTGAAGTGGTGTGCATGTTTTTATAGATGAAGGTAAATAGTAATTCACATCAAAGCCATCGCTCTGGGTGTCTAGGCAGGGTGTCACACGATGCGGCAATTAATTGCTGCATTTTCGATTTAGTGTCACCTTCTCCTCCCCCCCCCCCCCCATAATATGTCTTGGTTTACAAGGTCCGCTTGTCTGTAGATGTGTGGCAAATCTTGTACCTCTATTTCAACCCACTTCTAATCAGAGTTTCTTCCAGGCATCTCTTCATTTATACTGCCCCCCCCCCCCCCCCCCGAACGAAATGAAATTTATATAACTTATATAGAAAATATATACTTTTAACAGTGTCCCCCCCCCCCCCCCCCCCGAAAATTTCAAGTGCCCCCCCCCCCCCCGGAGAAAAAAGTCTGGAAGAAACACTGCTTCTAATACAGCGATTTCGTTCAAACTTTCCAGATACGTTCTTCTTCGTTGACAATGCAAGGATATATATTTTCTAATCTAAATAAGGCATTAAAATTTTATTCAAAAGTAACTATACCCAATGATAAAAGAGAAAATGACAAGAATAAACACTAGAGATCGCGCGATCAACTCGTTGTTGACGAAATAGTGTTGGTCACAGTTGGCTGATTTCTGGCTTAACATCGAACAAAGGGGCAGATAACTAAGATAACTGGGTTTACATATCACAAGCTGCTCGTCGGGTTTTAGCGCAATTTATTTTTTAGACTTTGTGTCAACTTCATGAAGAACAAATTATTAAAAAGTGGAACATTAAACATGTATTTTAAAAGATTATATTAACAAGCTTTTAAAGGCACTGAAAATAAGAAAATAAAACTAACATTTAAAAAAAAAAACTTTGGTCAATAATATATATCTCACGAGCAACCAAAGATTGTTTTAAAGAAAGCCAGTTGTTTTCTGTGCATTTAAAACCTGGTTATTAAAATGCCTTTTCATATATATATATATATATATATATATCTTTTTTTTTTTACTAGTCACTATCCCGTTGTAGTTCTTCTTTTAATTCGAACAATTAATGTACAAAACAAATAAATCAGTCTGTAAAAAAAACAATTAGCAGTCTATTTTCTTAACTTCCTTAGTGTATAATTGTTAATGCAGCTCACAATGAGCTTTGAAATATTTTTTCTATCTTGTTTATCGCCCCCCTCCCCTAGTTACGCTTTAGTGTAGTCGCCTCAATGTTTCCAATCTAGTAGCAATGACATCCGCTACATACTGCTTTAATAATTACAAAAAAGAACAAACAGACTGTGTATGTTCTTTTTTTAATCCACGAAGTGAGAGAACGAAATTCCCCCTTTGAAAAATAAAATATCCATACATTCCTTTTGTTACTTGGCGGTATTCTCCCCTCGTGTTTGGTTATCGGGATGTTTACCGTGTCGGTTTTTTTTTTTAAATACGTGATTTCAGTTTTCCGGGTACGGCAAAGAGTTGGACTGGAATTGGTTCTCCCTATTCTCACGGCTGGGTGGGTATCCGGGTTACATTTGTTAGAGAGTCGTTTTATGAGAGATGACAGTATGGGCACACACACTGTGTCAACACACGGAATCAACACAACCCCCCCCCCTCCCAACTTCTACCTCCCCCCCCCCCCCCCCTAAACAAAATTAGAGAAGGCGCTGATAAATTAAAGTAGGTCGTAAGATTTGTAAGCCATCACTTTGTGGTGATAAAAGTGGTGTCATATGACGAGAGCCTTCTTAGCTGCCTGTCTATGTACATATTTTTTTTTATCCCCACATCGAATTAGATCTAACCCTTCTGTTATCTACAAACTAAATTGATATGTTTATGATAGAGCGTATAATAGAACTCCAAGTGTCCCGAGTTCGAAACCTCGGGTAGAAGAGGCGTGTAAGCAGGGGACAGCAACCCACCAAGGAGAGAAAAATCCAAAATTAAACAGCTGCTGCCTTGTGGGTTGATATTGGGTGAGCAAAGGCCTATGGAAGCAAATCCAGATAGAAAATCAGGCTAAAATTGGAGAACTATCCATATGTGGTCGTCCATAAATGACGTCACACTCGTAGGGGGGAGGGGGTCCGTAATTTTGTGACGGTGTGTGATGAGGGGAAGGCGGGTTCAGATGGTGTGACGTCACTTTTTTGCATTATAAAAAAGCAATGTTCGAAAACGAGTTTTAGCCATTATTTCGCGTTTTAGAAAACGGTTTTAATAAATTGTAATAGGAATTGATCAAAATACTCTATGTTGACAGAGTTCTGACAAGATTTTGGAAAAATATCGATGTTTTAAGAAAAATTCAACAGCAATTTAGAGGGTGGTTGTAGGCTGAGGTGTGACGTCAGTTAAGGGGGGTCCGGCTTTTTGTGACGACGTATGACGGAGGGGAGGGGGAGGTAAAAATTGTCCAAAGAAGCGTGACGTCATTTATGGATGATCCCTATGCGCATAGCATGTTCTTCCTTCAATATTATAATTAAGAACGAAAAAGAATAAAATTAGGCTGCAGGGGTTTTGATGTGACATCTTCATAGTCTGGTCACCAGTTAAAATCTAATTGGTGGTTGTGTTGTCTGGTCTCTGGCTAAACACTTCTTGCTGAAATATTCAACCTTGAGCATTAGCGTAACGTAAACGTTCCTGTTTTTAAGTACCCTGGGTTAACGGCCAGGCAGGTAACTCCTCTCTTAAATCCCCCACTCAGGTGATTCAATTGATCCTCTTGATCTAATTTTAATCCTCTTGATCCGCCCACCATTCTAACACAGCCGTTGCTTTTGTTCAAAGTTTCAGGCGGCCCCGCTAATAATTTTCTAACAAAGGACTGCATGCTTCGCGCCATTTCATTCAAATACAGCACACAACCCCCCCCCCCCCCCCACCTCTACCCAGTATTACCCAATGCAGGTCTCTTGTTGTTTTTCTATGTGCACTGACATGAAATTTTATATTTTCAAGTTCTTACTTTTTACGCGACCAGTTAATAAAATTCCTTTTTAAAAAAAAAAAAACGGCTCTTTTGAACAGAACAAGGATGTAAAGATTACTAAACCAACAGTAGGGCTTGTAAGTAGGTCACCAACTTCTCGTTCTCGTACTTGCCAGCTAGTATTTTTCAAACCAAATGTGAATTTTTTTTTATTAAATCGGTAAAAAAATAGCAAAGTTACTAGCGGTATTGCTACGTTATTTGAAGTCGTGAACAGTTTCTTCCAGGCATCCCCCCCCCCCCCCCCCCCGAACGAAATTGAATTTGTATAGAAAATATATACTTTTAACTTTCAACAGTGTCCGCCCCCCCCCCCCTCGGAAATTTCAAGTGCCCCCCCCCCCCATCCCCGGAGAAAAAAGTCTGGAAGAAACTGATCGTTAACAATGGTAATGATAGATGTAGGCTAACTTAAAGACAAATATAGCCTACGTAAAACTGTGATTTATTTTTAAAGAAGCCTACATTTTGTTATTTTTATTCAAATCCGTAACACATTTTCCTAAATGTAGTAAAAGTATTAGTATAATATTAACAGGCTAGGCCTACCAGTACTTAATTTGATTCTAATATTAGTGACATCTACATAAGTATTGCATTTTGGGTACTCTTGGTATTTTTAAATCATAAAACGAAGCCTAGGAACAATAAGCCGCCCTGTTTATTTTATTATCAATGTAAAATCATGTTCACGACAGTTAAGTTAGTTCGAAAAGTTTTATTTTTCCCTGACAAACGAGATTTCGAATTTTAAGCGAGAGAGACCGAGACTTACAAGCCCTAATATCCAAACGCTAGCCTCAATCACAATATACGTAGCCCTGTCTCTCATCATGGTTGATAAATTCGAACAAAGTCTCGTGTTCAAACCCACTGGCAGATAAATCTCGATCCCCTTCAACACTAATAATTAAGAACGAAGAAGAAGAAAGAAGAAGAAGTAGCCCTGTCGTCACTAGGCGAGCGCAGGGTGGGGCGGTCCGCGCCGGATGACACCATTTTGGGGGTGACATCGCGACGAAGAATAGTAAAAATTTACTGCAAAGCCAAGACAATGTTTTATCCAGGTTACATAATATATAGGGAGAGAAGGCTCCTAAACGCGTGACACCTTTTTGGTGTCACCCCTCTCCCCTACATTTTGCTATTTTACCTGTATAAAACTAAAATTTGGTTATACATGTCTACTATTTTTCGGCGTGAAATATAGTAGACATGTATAACCAAATTTTAGTTTTATACAGGTAAAATAGCAAACTGTAGGGGAGAGGGGTGACACCTAAATTTAAAACGATAAATCATAGAATGGGGTTGGGGTGGTTCTCTTAGTTACCGGACCAGGT